CACTTTTTATATATAGAAAGATAAGAAACCAATTCATGCAACAATTGGCGTGTGCTTCGTTAGATGATTTAGAGATCTCAACAGGGTCGGTTATGGTTCAAATTTTGAAGTGGTGAATCCTAACAATGTACTCTACAATCTTGTTTTCTTGTTTTCCAATTTGCTCTGTGTTTAGTGAGGTCATTTAACTTTCTGTTTATAGATTGTTCATCGGTATTCTCTTGAAATTTCATGTTTATGTCTAACATCCGTCGAACATCGATCAATTAGATCTGGGCTAAAACAATTGTTTTGTCTTTCTATTATTTCCTTGCTTAAACTCACATTTTCTTCAATATTATCCTTTGAATATATTGCAAATGTAATTAAATGACGATTGTTAAATAGTTAGCTTAGATTAGCCTCAGTTTTGGGAGCCATTAACAACCTGAAAAAATAAAAATTGTGACCGTTACACAGTGAAGTGTCAGAAGGCAGCCGTAATTTTTGAAAATAAAATTCGGTTAAATTACCATGTTGCCCTTTCAAATAAAATTCTTTCTTAAGGAAGTTAGGGCAATTTTGTAAACAACTTCCTGGCATTTCAGAAGCTGCTGCACCCTGGGACCCACTGACACAAACAACGGTCAAAAAATTCATTCTCATTTTGGCCAAAAAATTAAACTATTCGTTGAAACATTAATAAGTAGACTCGTTTACCCCTTTCACATAAAGACGATTTCCGAAGAAAAATATGTCCACTACTCTACTTGCTCAAAGTTCTCAACATACTGAGATATTTGATCATATTATCTTATCTTACTTGTTGTTATGTCAAAGACCCTCGAGCTTATGAATGGTGATCGCTATCTCATAGCGGATTAGATAGGAATGTCAATTTGAAAGCAGCAAATGCGAAATAATCAAAGAATTGAATGATATAATAAAATGGTAGGTGGTAAAGTGACAGCTACTATTTAAAAGCAGCAAATGTTATATATAAAAAATAAAAATAAAAAATCGACCAGGCCGTTGAGGCCAGAGCAAAAGCTCGGACCGACCCATTTGTGGCCCGAGCAAAAGTTCAAGCCGAACCCATTTTGCTCGAGTCGAGCTTGAGCTTCAAATTTCGGCTCGTGGCTCGGCTCGACTATGCTCCTTGCCACCCCTAGGATTAGGTATTTTATAAAGTGGTCC